GAGGAGCAGTGCCCTGCTGCTGTGAAGGGGCCGGAGCCACCAGCTGCCCGGAGAGCCAAGGCCGGTCACCAGCCAGGGAGCAGTGCATGGCAGGGCAGAAGAACAAATGACACAGCACACTCCGCTCGTCCACCCCGGCTGTCAGCGGTTGCCTTGGTCAGTCCCTCTGCTCCCAGGGACCGAGTGCACCCCCACGGGCTGTTTCCAATGCCGGGCCTGGAGCAGCCTGGGGAAAAAAGAGCTTTGCGAAATGCCTTGTAAAGCAATGACACTGAGAGAAGATTTGAAAGTCTAAAAGGGTGTTCTGGATGCTCGCCACACGTAATTGCCTCGTTGGGACTGGTAACGAAAATAGCATTGCAGGGATATTTACCCCATTTTCATAAAAACTATTACGGCTTTGTTTTCAAAGCAAGTAACTACAGAGCCATGCGGCCTGTCAGAAAATGCTCAAGTGATTAACTGAGAAATGTGGAGGTGGGTAGAAGGCGGCTGCTAGGCATACGAAGTTGAGAAAAACAGAATTTAGAAAAGGATGTTTTTTGAATTTTGAAAGCTAAAAGCCTTCTGGTCTCTAGAATGATGTTCCATCTAACAGTGCTAAGACCCACACCCCCAGAGAGAAAGGAGGAAACGTTGGTACATCTGTTTCAACGGTTATTTTTGAACATGCTCACAGTTATGTTTTCAAATTCAGGTTTCCTTAGAGTTAGAATCTTGGCACGGATCAAGAGCCAGTTGCAAAGCCAAACTGCATATTTTAGAATTAGCCCTATTGCACGGATGAGAAGCCCCCCTGCCTTTCTGGCTTGTAGGCCCACCCAGCCCACTTCTATCCCTAGTGGGGATTCTGTGAAAGCCAAGGAGGGGGTGGGTTGGGTCTGGCCAGACCTCTAAGCCCACTATCATTGACAACCTTGCCTGTGAAACTCACACCAGACTCAATCTAAGCTGAAAATGGAGAGTGAGGAAGTAACTCAAGCTGGGCTACTGAACCTAGCAACCTCAGCAAGCCCACCTGTATGGATACTCGGAATGACTGTCTTCTGGATTTGCTATTACAGCTCTTGATATGTCTACTCTCATCCCCAGCACTAGGGCACTGCTGGAACTTTCACCTCAACTGTTATCTCAACCACCATCATAACCACTGACACTGCCTCTCCTCCACCACAAGCCCCCTGCATTCCCACTCCCACCACCATCTCAGCCACCCTCACTGTTCTCAACACCACCATCACGAGGCTGGGGCTCAGCACAGCTAGGTTGAAAACGGCCCTACAGCTCATTCTTTTACAAGCTTTGTTTTATCACATAACCAAAGAACATAATGAATAAAGTAAAAAACCTGATTGTCCCTCCTTAAACACTGGAATGGGGCATGTCACAGGAATATACTTTGCTACCAGCTATTCTCATTACATACAGGCACTCTGATCTCTTAAAAAATACAAAGGCAGGGGGACATGCCTCCCCGCCAACCTGTCCCCCAGCGACTGTGTCTGCTGATCTGGGCCCAATGCTCCCTTCTCAAAGACACCCAGCTCCACCCGCTGCTGACTGCCAGAGAGGGTGAAGGATCACTGATACAAACAGAATTTCAGATTTTCCAGGGAAAAACCACTTGACTCCAGACGGCTTTTTATTTTATTTTTTGGCTGATGGCTCTTTTGGATCTCTACAGAAATGTGTAAGTAAATGACATCTTGGAAAGATGAAGCAAGCACAACCACATCTGAGGGCTGGCAGTTTAAGATGGGGTCCAGTTTTCCTAACAAGACAGAATTTTACTTAGTTTTTAAAAAATACTTTAAACCCTAGTCTAAATTACTTTTTCTACAAAAGTGACCATGTTTTCAAGTTCTGGCTACTAACATTCCATTCCTATCCTCACAACTTGGTAATTTCTACCACGTGAAAGACATTCCCAGATGATCTGGAATCAATATAAAATTAACATGTTAATGGTAACTCATGCAAAATATGTTTAGTAACATTTTAATGAATAAATGTTTGCTATTTGAAAATACAAGATATAATAATTGCTTCTTTTACTGGAAACCACTTGGAAGATAGTCTCTCTGCCTTAAATGTGAGCTGTTACAATGACTAAAGCTTTTTGTAATATTAAGTTTCAAGGCTAAATTTCCCATAAAGTTAAAATGCTACAAAAATCTATTTATCATAATAAAATTTAAAAGGTGAAGGAATATGTTAATACAAGTGGAATATTATATAATCCTATTAGGCCTGTGTTAAAAAAAAAGCAATAGCTGTTGTCACATAAAATATTCCCAAAATGTCACAACAGTCATTGTGACATTTTTATCATAGAATTATTTTTAAAAAGAAGTATTACTTATTTCTTAAGAGAAATGTTCACTAAAAGTAAAACTCTGAACTTCTGGGGGTATACGTTACACCCTTGTTATGCTGAGGCAAAAGACTCTTCCCTCTACACAGGATGCACTGAGTGTTTCACACATTATCATCCTTCATCAAGCATCAAACTAACAGTCAGGAAATACAGCTGCAATGGCACGATTACCAACACACTCAGAATACACCCCGAAGCAAAGAAAACAAATGGCTTGCTTTTCATTAACAGAGTTTGGCAACCCTCTCCAAAGACAATGTTTTCTTTCCAGTCAGAGTCCCAAAAGGTATTTAAGGGGCTATTTGCTAAAGGTAAATCCAGAGAACAAATTAATCAGGAAAATATTTATTTAATTTCAAAATATCCATCATCAATATGTAGTGCCATAGAAGAAAATGAGGTATATTAAAAGATGACTTGCGAAAACAAACATCTAATAAATACAGTACATGTGTTTTAAAAAAAAATGGTGCAAGAGGATTGAGCAGCCAAATAATATCCTCATGTTCTGACAGTGATTCAAGGTATTAATGGTTTTCGTTTTCACATTTTGTGGAATATAATGTGATAGTGCAATGTGTTTATATCTATCCAGTAATGAGCTGTGTAATAACAGGGTCCTATTATATCAGATTTGAGTCCACGTAAAGAAAATAATTAGCTATCAGCTTGAGATTCTGATAAAACATGTCAGCCTTGAAAACCAAGATGAATAACATTCTTGAGCAGTAATAAAAGTACCATTCATTTGGTTGGGTTCTGGACATTTATTCCCAATATGACTATAATATCATTATTCCTTAGCGGATGTATCACTCCTATTAACATTATATTATATTTAAACCACGAACTGTTACTTAAGCCCTAATTTAAGGAAGGCTCCAAGGATGTGAATGGCAATGGAGAGTTGTATTATATCCTGAACCACAGCCGTCAAACTTTTACTGAATTCTCTGCCCAGAAATCTTCTAACATACTCAGCTCGATTTTCTCTGCAGGAGAATACCACAGAAAAATTAAGGAGCCATATTTTCCTCAGCACAGGAGGCCAAGGATACACATATGGGTTCTTCCACGCTGTGGCACAACATCAATTTCATGAATTCACATTGTACTTTTTATTCAATTAACTCAAACCTGAAGATCTTCTGAACTGCATTGAGGTATCTTCCACCTGGCTGATTTATGTTGTACAGTTGTCTTGTAAAAGGACAGATCATCTTTGAAATTGTATATAAAATAAAACCTGATGCACAATTAGGCTCTAAAATCCTCTGTCTTGTCAAAGAGTAATCTATGGGATTTTACTCAGCCCTGGGTGCAAACTGTGAATACTATGAGTTATAATTTTAACCAATCTGCCTTGGTGGGGGCGGCTGCTTTGTGAGGTGCTGAAAACAGCATTAAATCATAGAGAAGAAGTGCAGCCCCTACCAACAACACTAGTATTACTAGGGCCCACTGTGTGCAAAAGGTTTGGTTGGACAAAGGAGAATACATAAGAATGAAAGGCCCTTCCCCTCAGATGCTGAGAGTTGACAGAGCGCTTCTACTGTGGCTTCCATGCCACACATCAGCAAGGAATAGGCAAGTGACCAGCTGGACGGGGATTATGAGGAACAAACTCTGAGTCCAGGGGTCCCATGTGGGGTCAGGTCAGGTGCATTACCAGGTAAGTGGGCTCTTCTGAGCTCCTCATGGCATCTTCAATTTAAGGGGCAGGGTCTTAAAGCATTTCTGTCTTAGTCCTTTTGTAGATGCAGTAACATTATAAAAATCTCTAAATCAAAAAGCATTTTAAGGCAAAAAAAGGTTTTTAATGTTTTGAAGTCTTCATCTTGACAAGCAAGGTGATGAGATACTTACAAATTGCTTGAAAAATCAGAAGCAAGGCAATTTCAAGATGAACTTTAGCGACTGTGACTGGTCTTTTACTTTCAAAGATTTGACCTTGCAACAAAGCACCCCCTGTCCTCTCACTGTTCTTAAAATCCTTTTGGAACTCAAATCACTTCCTTATCTCACTACACATTTATCCCTCATAGCTATTACAGAGAAAGAGAATTCCATTTTCAGCTTCAACACTGAGAATGAGATGCTGTGCCTGTATTCTTTCTGAGCTGAAAAATCATGGAGTTTAATGTGGCTTTTTCAATTAGAAAATATTGTAGTCTTATGGAGAAATCCAATTCTATATTGGACAAAACCCTCAGAATAAAGTAATATTTTTCAGAAATAAGGGACAAAGGGAAGACCCCTTCTCTAGTGAGTATGTTTGAATTTAATAATTGAAAAGTAACCGAGTATACAGAACTTATGCAATCTTCTCTTTAGCAATGTCAAACAAGTATTTTAAAGGAGCAGGACCAACCATTAGGCCCAAGTTCACCACGATTCACCTCCCAGTCACGTTTCCCAATGTGCCATTTGTGGTTTGGGATTACAGTGGATTATCATTGCATTGAATACCGACACAGTAAAAAAGACCCTGCTGGGGGCAGAGTTCTCTCTTTGGCATCTTGAGTCTTGGGATAATGACACTTGTTACAATGGACTTTGCTTGTGACATACACAAAACTTAACTGTTCATGAGATTTTCTAGCAGTCTCTATAGCTTTCATACCTTTAATGTAGTGAATTCATATGGCTGGTAACCTTTGAAGCTCTCATGGATGGCTGCCATTGTGTGAGAAGTTTTCTCCCAAAAATGAAGCAGAGTAGTCTGTAAAGAAAGATAGGAAAGGTATTCATGTTTTGAATATGTAGTTCCGGTCATGAAACCCAGGGAAGTGTGACTATCTGTATCTTTCAACATCCTCTAAAATATGATTCCAATCATCTCTGCACCCACATTCTGTGTTATGCCCCCATTTATGCCCTGTATTTCAGCTAAGCTAAATACCTCCTGCTTCCCCAAACAGTGCCTTCTAAGCAGTGTGCTTCTCCCACCACCTGGGACCTCAGACTTTACTATCTCCAACTTTCTTCCTAATCTTTGAAAGGGAACCTGGTTCTACTCATTTTTGTATTCCCTACAACATCAGCTTTCCACATCCCGTCCTTAAGTGCTCAATAGCACAGCTGATGGACACAGTGCTATCTCAAAGGAACTCAGAGGCTAACAGGGGAGACAAAAACCAGTGCACTGAGTAATGACCAGCTGATGAGGGTAGTACGCCACGAGACATCTAGGCCTGATGCTGAATGAGTGCAGAAGTGGCTTACTGAAGGACATGACATTTGGTCTGCTACATCAAAAAGAGTGGAGTTAGTAAATGTGCAGATGGAGGAGAAAGGCATCCCAGGTAAGAGGGATGCCCTGAGTAAATGCAGAGAAGCGGGAAATTACACTGCACGTACAGAGAACGGCTACTATTTGGTTTGGTGAAACCATAGGATCCTAGAAGGCCGAGATGTGGGAAAAGTAAATTTTGAAAAAAAACCATTCACAACATCATAATGCCCAAACCCTAGTTTTAGCTCAAACATCATTTCTATGGTATCTAAAACTCGTGCCATTCTTGGTTCAGTGTAACAAATACCACTTTGTTACCTGGTATGTTGCTAGCATGTGAGATAAGAGATTACATCTGCTTGCTCCAAGAAGATCCACTTTTTGACACACATCCATCTTCAATTTGTCAAAGTTTTTTTTTGCAAGGCGTACTTGTGATTGTACCTATGAAAGTAAAGGGGAATCTCTGAATCACTCAAAGTCTTTATGTAGTTACAATTTGTAGGCGACAAGAGATCAATAGTGGGCATTTTCTTTCATATGTGAAAATATTTGTGAAAATTTCAGGCACATAAGAAGATCCTACAATATCCATTCTCTAGCTTCCAAAGCACATTCTGATTTTACAGCAGACTCACCATTCTAATCATATTTTTCTTAGTCAAATGTTAAAACTCCTTTCTTCTCAACGCATTCACAAACTGCCCATCATTAAGAGAAGTCTAGAGACGTGTGGAGGAGGAGCCAGGGACCAACTTTCACTCCACTATTTTCATAGTCCTTGGAAGCTAAGTTCCAGTATACTTTTCACTCAGCTTTCCCTCAAGTTGACATACTACATAACATGATAATTTGTTAAAACAAAGAAGCTTATGTTAATATAATTCTATTTACTAGCCTATAGACTTTATTTTCCACCAGTGTTCCCACTAATGTACTTTTTCTGATTATGAATCCAATCTAAGATTCCATATTGAGGGCATTTTGACACAGCCTCCATCTGTCCTGCACCATGACTTCATAATGCCCAGACCACACTTTTGGTTGGTGGTCAATCCCACCATTATAGACATAGTACAATTCTGAAGGAACTCCGAGGCTACCACTGGGCACAAAAAATATAGTAATTCAGGGATGGCATGAAGGATAGGGAAAGATTCAGAAATGTCTATTCTATGCATCAGTCAACAGTAAAATACAAAGTTTTAAAATTTGATACAGATGCATTAGACCGTAAGTCAAAATTTCCCCTTCCCCTGATCTAAAGTGTTATCACATCATATTTTGGTCAGGGAAAACCAGCCAATTAAAAAAACACACTTTTATTGATATATGATTGACATGTAAAAAGCTACATAATCTGGGTGGTACCTGTGGCTCAAAAGGGTAGGGCACTGGCCCCATATGCCGGAGGTGGCGGGTTCAAACCCAGCCCTGGCCAAAAAAAAAAAAGCTACATATTTAACAGATTCAACCTGATGAATTCAAATATTAACTCTGATCATTGATAAAGATGTAGATACTAATAGGTTACTGAGAGCTGGAAGAAATACTGATTTATTACCAATACCTCTTTTTCATCCTATGTATCAGGAGGGTGTGAACAATGTCTACTTCACCCACCAGTATACCACCTGGCAACCAGGTACTGAATACATATTTGTTAAATGAATAAAAAAAATTTCAGGCCATTTCAAAAGGGAAGGTACTTGAGTGCATTTAAAGTATAAAGTTAAAATAAAAAAGAAAATATAAACTTTAAAGCAGTTTAAGAAGTGATTATTTTATTTTCTAATAAAAATAAACATGTAGATTGTTTGACATATTATTACATTATATATTATTTTCCATCACAAACAATACTAATGTATTCACAACATATAAAATTACAGGGCATCATATGCAGATTATATTAGCAAATCTAACAATCAATACAATTTACTTAGCACTTGGCAGCATTATTCTATTTTGGCTGCTGACATTCTGTCTCTGATTGATGAGGGTTGGGAGGCTTATCAGGTCAAGTAACTCATGGGCAGGGCTGGCATTCTAAATGAGCCTTCCTCCCAAGCCACTCACATCAGTCCCTGGAAAATCAAGAAGCTCAAAATGATGATTCTACCCAGAAACACAACTCTTCCCTGTAAGATCCTATGGAATTGATACCTGACGAGGTAGTACATTTAACACCACGCTGACAGAATTAATACCTTAAGAAATTTCCTAAGAATTTCTCTGACTTCTTAGTCTACAGAGCTGGGAAGATTAAAGAACTGTAGCCATCCAGTTCCTCTCAAACCAACCATACCATGAAATAAAGTAAATCACAGAGTTAGTCTTCACTGTATAGCAGACAGCCAGTAGTTTAAGTTACCTGGGAGTTCTGACTTAAAAAAAGAGTCTAAGATGAGTTAACTGCCAGTGATTTTCTCCCTTCCTTCGAAAGGACTAAGGAGACAGGAAAAAGAAAACCTGAGTTCTAGGGGGAACCAGTGTGGGAGTTTGGAAAAAGATACCAGCAGGTGAAATCCTGACTGCAGGTCCCCTGTTGATCCCCAGGTGCTTGGGCCAGGAGGGCTTTCTCAACTGGGATGCTGAAAAATATCTATCCTGAGCCTTTTCCTCTGAAGGGGAAGGAGAGACCTCTGGGGTGCGAGCGTTCACATATGCATTCATTCAACACGTATTTACCAGGTGGCTATCATGTGTTGGAAGCAGTGCAAGGAGCTAGAGTGTCTGTAAAGGGATAAGACGAATAACAAGAACTATGAAAGAATACAGAGAAGAAGAAGAACCCCCCACCGCAAGCTTTTAGAGAGGATGTACAAGTTAGCAACTACATTATAATACGCTGGGGAAAGCATAACAATAGAACCAAGAGTGAGGAAAGAGATAACACAGAGAAAGAATTAATGCTGGCAGTGGAGTAGGATGGGGTGGGGTATAGGATGATGGCATTAGGGGGCATCTGATGGCCTCCCTGTATCTCTACCCTCTAACTTCGTGGTGTCTTTCTGCTCTGACTCTAGGCTTGGCCAGGTGACTTGCTTTGGTCAATGGAATATTAACAAACACAATGAAACTGGAAGCTTGGAAAAAAAATAAAAAAGCTAGCATGTTTCCTCTTTCTTTCTGGCCCCTCTGACAAGGCCATGAAAATATGCCTGGGCTGGCCAGCTGGAAGGGTATGAGAAATGTGCATGCAACAGACAGGAGGAGAGACCAGTTGTCCCCACAGATCAGTCTTTGGCCAGAAGCACGTCAGTGAGCCTGGGACAGCAGACCTGCTAAGCCATAGCCTTGTGGGCCATGAGAAACACTCATTGTTTAAAGCCACTGAGTATTATGGCTGCTTATTTCACAGCATTACTGTGGTCAAGACAGGTGACCTAACTGTAAGGAAATAGACAATGAAGGCTTCTGAGATGAAGTCGGTCTTGAAGCATAACTAGGAGGTACAAACAGAAGGTATCCATATGATTGGCCTAGTTTCGGGGGGATTTTAGATTTTTTAAATGAAATGTAAATTAATTATTTTGGAGGGTGTATATTTTGCTTTTTCCTTTACATTAATATAATCAGCTACTCATAGAGACTCATATCCTAGGAGAAAACTTATTTCATTTGCTTATAACACAAAGCTCATAAGCTAATACAGTTTGAAATGTGCCCTAATTTAATTTTGTTTGAATTTTCTAAGGTAATTTTAGAAACCTAGAAGACCACTCAACACTTGACCCAGTGAGTTCTGAAAGGCCATATGCTTTGTGTGTCAACAATGATTATTAAAATACTTAATGCACTGCTGAGTTTCCAAATGCTGAGCCCTTTCCCTGCCAAACAAGGAGGATGCTATACTGTTGGGCATTTTGAATACAGTAAATTTCATTTAATATTTTGTGCTCCATGTCTGCTCTAGAAAACACATTTCTAGCCTGCAGCCTGAGGACAAAACACCAAGGAGACAGTCGAGCAGGCCACCATCGAGAGTTTAATTTCATCTGCCTCCAGATGCACTTAAGGGAAAAATGTTTTGATTATTATTCCTCTCAATCCCAGATAAATTATATTCAATTATATAAATATGTTGGGGAGCTCCTGTGGTTTTCAAGGCTCTTTAAAAATTTTTCAACTCAAATAAATGCACCCTTTGTTTACTTCTCAGTTGTATTTCTGTTACCCCCACCTCTCTCGTTCTCTAAGCTTTAGGAAATGAATGTGTGTTAGACCCTCCTCTGTCTGGTCCTGCCTTCCCAGGCCTCAGAAATTGAATTTACCAGAGGGAGCAGCAATGTTTTGACTGCCAAAAACTTCAGGGCACTTTTTTGTACTTATACCTCTTAACCTGAAATTCTACCTTTTAGCCTCAACTAGAACTACATATGGTGAAGCCACAGCTATTCATTCTTTCAGTTCAATCCACCCAGCAGAAAGATCTTCATATCAACCAAATCATCTGAGAGTAGTTCTGCATTTTTTTCTAAGTATTTTCTTTCTTTCTTTCTTTTTTTTTTTTTGAGACAAAGTCTCACTCTGTGACCATGGGTAGAGTTTTGTGGAGTCATAGCTCACAGCAACTTCAAACTCTTGGGCTCAAGTGATCTTGCTTCAGACTCCCAAGTAGCTGGGACTACAAGTGCCCACCACAATACCCAGCTACTTTTTTTAGAGATGGGGTCTCGCTCTTGCTCAGGCTGGTCTAGAACTTCTGAGCTCAGGCAATCCACCCACCTTGGCCTCCCAGAGTGCTAGGATTACAGGCCTGAGCCACCACACTCAGCTTTTATTTCTTTTACAAAATAAAACCAAACAACCATTCTATTCTTATTTTTATATCAACTTTCAGGAAGTATCTTGGCTTCTTAGATCCATTCATTCAACAATTATTTACTGAGTATCTTCTATATGTGGCTAGCAGTGAACACAAATGCAACTGGCAATCCAGTGGGTATTTAGACATCGGTGAGGGTCTAACTACAAACTGAGTGAGGTGCTCACAAGAGCAACACAGTACTACAAGAACAATCAACCAAAGACTCTAACCCAGAGGATATCTGTCCTCCAAGGACATGGTGCTCAATCTCTACTCTAAATCACTGAGTGTGATTCTGCAAGTAAAGAGTAGTACAGCATAGGCAGGAGCAGGTGCAAAGACCCAGGGGTGGAGGCCAAGGCATGCCCAGAACTGAGAGTAGGCCTGTCTTGCTGGGTTGCTGAGAGCAATCAGACATTGGTATGGGATGAGACTGAGAGGTGGATCGGGGCTCATCTTGGAGAAGGGCCTTTTTGATGAGCTCAGGATTTTAGTTTTTATTCTGAAAGAAGTGGAAAACCAGTATAGGCTTTTATGCAAGGAAGGGATAGAATTCTATTTTCAGTTTGAAAAAAACACTCACTGCAGTGTGGCGATGGACTAAAGGAGAGAGATGAAGGTAGGTAAGAAT